CAGTTCGAGTTCAGATTTAGTATGATTGTGTAATCGTGTAGTTCAGGAGATTAAAGCCTTGTTTAAGCGTCGATTGTTAAGCCTCATCTTGTTACATACATATACAATATCCAGCATGTATTTTATATCTGAAACGCCCTTCAAGTACAACAACGGTATTGCGCTTTTTTTATCCTCTCACCTTTGTCTCGTGAAGACCAAACACTCTGTTGAAATACGCTTTTTGAAATTGTAAGCTTCCAGTTGTCCAAAGTCTAAAGTGCCCACAATTGTTAAGTAGAAACTCCCTCATTATATTGACTGTTTTTCTGAATGGTGGTGGCMWTCCAATTTCTCCAAATTTCGGCAATTCTTCCCCTATTACCTTTCCAATTGATCTGTGGCCGTCAAAGAGTGCTATGCCCACACTGTTGTTAAAGGGTTGCTTTGAACCCTTGTTATTACGTTGCTTCGGATCAGRCTTTGGAACTGGAGTGGATGCGAGAAGAGGGGCCGAGATATTGGATGATGAATCAGACAAATCAATGGGGTTGAYTTTGTCAGGCATTTCCAGCTCAAACGACASTTCTGAAGAATCTATACAGAAAGAATATGCATGCTTATTAGAAAGCTACTGCAGTTACTCAAATACAATATAATGCAATGATATTAGTAGATACGAAATCAAATACATGTCATTTTTCGATCACAGACTTTCCACACATGTTGGGATTTATTGACTGTTTACAACTATACGTGTCAGAAAACAATTAAAGAGCACCTTCACGATTTTTTTTAATCTTTAAAATGAAAATTGAGGTTAATGGAAACGTACCTGTGAAAGAATTTTTCATTTCTATCAAAAAGCGAATTTTTGGTGAGCTTACAAACATACGAAAATGTCCACTTTGAGCTCTTTTTTTGGTTCAATACCGGGAAAGACTGGGACTGACTCTGACGTCATCCCAGGACAAGGCATTTGTTGTTATCGAAGCTTGACAGTGGATTTTATCGCGAGTCAACTCCAAAAATCTTATTTATCATCGATTTTTATGCTCTTTCGCGAATGAAATGCCCATCAAGTGCGTTGTTGGTGGCCTCGGCACAAAATACGCAAAACAGCCATTAGTCATTTGAGGCAAAGAGTTCTCTATGCCCGGCAGTCTAAACTTCTCGTACTCGAGAATTAGAAAATGAAATAAGTACGATAAGGCAAACACATGACTGAAAATATTCTTCCTTTCAAGCGCTTTTCTAATAAATTTCATGAAATGAAACGACTACGAATCCAGAAATGAACACTCTTT